GGACACCGATTCCCAGAACACATTTCAAACATGAGGAGAACAGAAAAAGCTATGGCTGAGACCCATTAGTACACTGTGACCTCTGGCACACTGAACAGGCCTAGAAATCAACAACTCTTAAGTTCAAATCCCACTTCTGCCACAGACTTGCTAAGTGACTTGTCACTACTCTGTTTTTCTTCCCTTTCACTCTATATAAACTAAGTTTCAATAGTTTATAAATAGCTGAAGTTATAAATCCTAATGATACTCATCTGGATATAGCCAAGACGTGAGAAATATTAAATTTCTCCTAACTTCAATGAAATCCTCATCAAAATTAATGTAAGAGCTCTTTCTCTCTTTTGAGGATGGAGGGGGTATATAACAAATTTTTCTAAAAAACTTTTCATGTATATATGAAAGATAAGCTTCAAATAACATACTTATCTCAAAATAATTTAGAGTGACTGCAGCTTGCCACAAAAGGGAAAATAATTATATTTTTTCATTTAGAGAAAACTCAGAACAAATACAATGTTTAAGATTATAATCTGCCTTATACAATAAACAGTGCCTTATTTTAGCTATAGTGTACTTGATCAAGTATTTAAAAATTACACAAAATAATCTTTTTAAACCTTAAAACACAATTTATAATATCTTGTTCTTGTTTCACAAATATGTTTTCAAGAGAACACCAAGGTTTTTATACTCTTCTCTTTCGGAAAATTGTTATTTCTGAGTCTTTGGAAGAGACAGCATATTGCAGGAACAAACAGTTGTTTTCACGAAAAAAGGGAAGAGGGTTAACTAGGCTTTGATTAGTTTTGTGTTCTAGCCCAGGTCACTTAGGCTATGTGGCTGGACAAAGTCATTTTGCCATACTATCATCTTCATCCATTGAGGTAGATGGGGGAAGCCAATGTAAAAAGTCTACTACCTACCTAGAATCCTTACAGGAACTGTTTTAGGAAATCTTGAAAAGGGAAGGAAATTTAAAAAACAGCCATTTCCAACTGCAAAAATGATAATGCTGAACACTGAGTTTGGAAAATGCTAAAATAGAGAAATCAGAGCAGGACAGGTAAGAAAGAACCTTCACAGAAAGAGGGAAACATTAGGAAGATGATCCCAATGAATTTGTTAGTTTACAACTATAATGAACATATACTACTTATTTACCAGTTATTGAGTGCAAACAAGTGACTACTACAGCTAATTGCCATGTTCAAAATTAAATATTAAATCACTTAATCCTTGTAATACTAAGAAAGACATTCTTTTATTATTTTTACTCTAAAGTAAAAACCCTGGGGAACAAAGAGATTATATGAGTAGTGTAAAATAACTCAGCTGGAAGTGGCACAGCCATGCTGTGAACCAGTGTTGTATATTGATAGGTGTTTTTTTGGCCTAAAAGGCAAACATAAAYACTTTAGGATAGATATGCAAGATGTAGTTATTTTAAGAGGCTAAGTATTGAGAGTAGAGACATAAACTACAGCAAAAATTCTAATCCAAGGATGAACAAACAAGCTACATGATATGCATGGAGTAACTGGATATTTAGAATGTCCTATACATTTAAGAAGGGTCTTATTGCTCTATSTATATATGTGACTGTATGACCAATGTGATTCTGCAACCTGTACACTCAGAAAAATGAGAAATTATACCCCATTTGATTCAAATGTATGATATGTCAAGATCATTGTACTGTCATGTGTAATTAAAACAAATAAAAAATAAAAAAGAAGGGTCTTTACAATCCAAGTGTTTAATAGAATTCCACGTCTTGAAAATTATTGCAATACACATTCAATGGCATCTTTTATGGTACTGAAGAATGTGGAAATTTCTTCAAACAAACAAATCAGCAGTGGAATAAGAGGCATGGTAGCACATACTTGTCATCCCAGTGGCTTGGGAGGCTGAGGCAGAAGGATCTCAAGTTTGAGGCCAGCCTCATCAACTGAGTAAGACTCTAAGCTACTAGCAAGAGCCTATCTCAAAATAAAAAAATAATAAAAACAGGTTGGGGATGTGCTCAGTGGTCAAGTATACCTGGGTTCAACCCCCAACACTAAAAGCAAAAACAAACCCCAAAAGAGGAACCACAACGTGATACACATTATTTATAAGGCACCATATATCTTTTTAAAATTCTTTATCTCATTGGATCCATACAACACAGTATTATCATCCCTATTTTAAGAATATAAAAATTAAAGCTTGAGAAGATTAATTATCTAAGGTCAAGCTGGCAATTACTGACTTTCTGGCAAATACTAGAAAAACTGGAACATAGAAAGAAATGAGTAGGATGGATATCTGGTAAGCATGGATCAAATTTAATTCCACAGAATGCAAAGCAAAAAATTCTCCCCTCTTTGGAGTCATCCTGGGGTATGTGAATAAAATACTATTACTGGAGATCTTAAGTTTTGAACCTATACTCTACTATTTTATTTCCTTTGTGCAGTCAGATGGAAAAAGAAAAGGAATGCAGTAAAGTTGCCATGCTGCCTGGGATGTATCTAATCTACATTACCTCTTCTTCTTCTTCTTTTTTTTTTTTTTTTTTATTAAGTGTGGTCAAAGAACAATTCAAAGGAATTGAATGTCAAATCTGAACAAATTTGAAATAAATAGGTACTTCATCATTTACCTATTATGAACACACACTATATATGCAATGTAGAGGTGATACCAACTCATCCATTGAACACTGGAAGGGAGAGATCATGACCGAGACAGAATGACTTCACAGCTCTTGGTTTTTGTATTTTAATAGTAAGGAAAAAGAAATGACAACATTTTATCTCACCTTACCTTATGGAATTTTATCTTAACTGACAAGCAGGTAAGAAAGCAGAGTTCTTATATAAAGAAAATAGATTAAATAGAGTAAAAAACATTATAGAAAAGGATATTTTGATTGTATAGATGGGAATATAGTAAGAAAATAAACACATACTACCTCCTACCTCATACTACTTCCCTGCCTCCATTATTATATATAGAAACCACAGGGCCAGGCTTTAAAAGGGCAGTGCCAGGTTAATGGACATGGGGCAAATAGACCAATTCAGGGCTTTTCTCCTAAGGCTTCTACATTTTAATGAGTGGAAGAGAGACACAGAATGCTTAGAAACTACTATCACTTCACATGAAAAAGATCAAGAGAACATGCAATTTATTTCTTGGTTGTCCAACCTAGGTCATCAAGAGAAGAAAAAAGGAAGCAACTGAGAGTAGAACTTTTGTCTGGAAACAGACTATGTACATAGTACACACTTTTCTTGTGCTATAGGAATCTGAACACAAGGTTTATGGGCAAGAGGAGAAGAAACTTTAAAATTACATGATGCTGTGAGGAAAAGATGGGGCTACAACTTTACTAAACATGTCACAATGGGCAAGTCCACTAACATATTGTAAGGTTCATACTGAATATGTAAAATGGAAAATACTTGTGCTCCTTATTGCAAGGATTATTATGAGCACCAATACAGAATTTAGAAAACTTTAATAATCAAATGAATGTATGTCGAATACAAATGAACAACTGTCCTAAGAAAAAAGAATTTCAATGCTAGAAGGAAAGGCAGATCATTTAGCCTAATATATAAATTAAGCACTGGGGCTGAAGTTCAGTGGTAGAGCACCTGCTGCACCTTTGAGCCACTGGGTTTGATCCTCAGCACCACATAGAAATAAATAAATCAAGATATTGTGTCCATCTACAATTAAAAACAAAAAAAAATTTAAAAAGATATGAATAAATTATTTTAAACAGGAACCCTGTTATAAAAACAGAACACATAAATAGCTGCTCTTGTTAATATACAGCTGACACTTGGCTTGCTTTGTCTCTGTTCTGCATGGCTCCAGGATCTTTCTACAGAATTTTTTTATGAAACAATTTTAAGCCCACAGAGCTATTTCTAACTTCTAAAAATGAAGAGAATAAAAGTTGAAGCGGTAAAGTTCGACAAAGGCAAACCAGAATAGGGACTAGAACCCAAATCGCCTGACTTTGTTTAGTATTCTATGTTCCAACACTTTTATTTTCTTTTTAAAGAATAAATAAATAAATAAATAAAATAGAGCTTCTTCTTTACGTTCAGTAATTTCACTATCTCCCTTCTTTCAAAGGCCTCAAGATCACTGAACTCTATCTGGACACAAGTAACTGATATTATTGGCAAGACCAGAGTAGTTTAACATACAAGTAGGTGGTTAGTTAGAAATTGTGGTGGAGGGAGCCTCAGTCTCCTTGTAATGGCTAAAAATTGTCTACATAAAAATTTGCAAGGGACACCACAGAATACAAAAAACACGTTAGGCTTGAACTTTCAACTACCAGGTCTCATTCTGTGAAAAGCCTTTTACTAAAATGTTGCGTGTACAGAAAATGGTCCCTAACTAAATACGCAAACAATGACTTTTAAAGACTCAAAGGAAAATGCTCATGATTTTCACATTCCTGATAAGGAATCAACAAGAAATAGAATCAACTCCGAAATTTTATAAGAAAATTCTCAGTATCTCCTCCCRTAAGGAAACCAAAACTTTTAAGCAAATGGGTTTTCACTTTAGTTACTCAATTTTTTTTGTATCACATGTAACCCTTTATATGAACCCTCGGGTTTTACTGAACGCTTCGATCCTGGATGATTCTTAGAAAGACTTTGATAAGAAGTAAATCTTTTCACGAGGAAAACACGTCTAAGTCCGTCTCTAAAAACGGCAATTCGTGGAACGCAGAGGGGTTCAATTCTAGCTGCGTGTTCCCCCGCCCTCAATGGCGCAAACCTAAGAACATCTGTAGGCGTTTGTAATTGCTTTACAGTGTTTCCCGAAATCAAGACACTTTGATTTGCCTCTTCCAGGAAGACAATAAACAGGGAAACTGAAGCAAAGGGCGAGAATTACAAGGCCGTGAAACTCCAAGACCTCCCGGCTGTACGCAGGACCTCAGGTTTGCACTCGAGCGCTCTCGGGCAGACACTGACCTTAGGAGTGTGCGAAACGCCCACGCTCCACGTAACTTTTTCTGAAACATACTCTGGAAAGCTTGGCTTTTTCCTAGCAGAATGTGGGTTACCCGGGCTTCCGGAACTCGCGGGCTTCCGGAGCGACGCAGGACCCGGAAGTGGCTGGGGAAAAAAAAAAAAAAAAAGGAAATAACACCACCAGTGAGCACTACGCTTTAGAGCAGTGCAGAAGGCCCTAGAGGGCCCCGACACAGAGAACTCGCAGGAGCCGAAGGGCCGAAGAGCCGAAGGACCGAAGGGCCGAAGAGGACACCTCGCGCACTGTGATTGGTTGGAGAAAACGTCTCTGATTGGCAGAAAAGTCACGAACCGGTCAGCCCCGGGTCGGGGGCCGGGCGTGAAGAGGTTACAGTGTCCAGGGGCCGCCGGGAAGCTGGGGCTCTCGGGGGCAGGGCTTTAGCTGCGGGCAGCCGCCACAGCGGGCGGCCGGAGAAGCGCCGCCGGGTGGCGGTGAGGTGCCTCCACAACTCGGGTCTCCTTGTTCGCCCTGAGCGGCCTGCTGCGGGACGACCTCGTGAGGCGGGAACCCTTGGGCTGGGTGGCTGTGTCCGGACTAGGACTGTAGGGCGGTGCGTGCAGACAAACCTTTACCGCGGGCTTGGTGGCGTTGACGTCTGCTGGCTCCAGAAGGCAGGTCGACCACCGTGCAGAGATGCGCCCGAGGGGCCGGTAAATTCAGGGTAGTGGTCACTTGGGCCAGGCCCCCTCTCAGTTCTTCCCATCAGCTCTTAGGAGCCCGCCTACCCCAGGGCATCGAGTCAGAATTTCAGAGAGGGGTCCGTAGGAAGAGCGCCCATGAGGCAGTTCTGTGCAGCCCGCTTTGGGAAGCGCCAAAGTTTGAACGAAATAGAGTAGTTTAAGAAGTAAAGATTTCCTGCACATAGTAGGTTTTAAGAACCTTTTAGTTCTTGTCACAAACCCCTTAGGAGAGCGCGCTCAGTCTTACCAGGAGTCTATTGTTAAACACTGAGAACTTATCCTCTGAAAGTAGTGTTACAGAAGTGCTTTTTCATTTTTGCTTTTTTAAATTKTTTGACTTGTATTTTATTTCAGGAATTATTCTATGGAACAGATGTTACTCCATGTATGAAACATGAAAAGATAAAATGTACGCATGAACACCAATACTGTCTAAATTCATTTTACATTAAAGATCACACAATTTGACATCATTRTACCTGGAATGTTGCCTTTTGTATGTTAAGGACATTTAGTGGGGAGGGGCAGAGAATTGGCCTGGATAGAGGATGATAACTACTTCAATTAATGAATCAAAGTCTTTTCCACCATGTAAACCTAGAGTACAAATGAGATGGAGTGGAGAGTACAAGTTGATAGGGTTTGTAGCTCACTTAGRTATAGCAGAGGTTTTCTAGACTGCAGCTGTTCAGTATGGTAGCCATTAACCACATGGGGTTAGTCTTAAGTGAGGTCTGTTCTAAGTGTAAAATATGCCCAGGTTTTTTTTTAAGACAAGGTATGGAGGAAGAAAATAAAGAATGTAAAATATTCTTTAATTTTATATTGATTATATGTTGAAATGAGAGTGCTTTGAAAAATTTAAAATCATGCAATTTCCATAATTTTTATACGGATACTTATGTTCTAGAGAGTAAGAAATTCTCTTTGAAGATGACTAAAGTCTTTCACTTAACAGTTGCAAAGTGGGCAGCTATGTGGCACTTCCAGAATAACTCCCAGAAGTACTGTACTTAACTAAATTTTTGTTGGAGGGGAGAGAAGACTGGCATAGATTACATTTTCAGAGAGCAGTTCTAGTTCATGAAGCTTTGTATAGGTCACATGAGCATCAAGTTATGTATTGATAATAATGATAACCTATCTATGAAGACATTTGTGCTCTGTTAAATGAAATTGTATAAGATAGGGAAATATGTATAACAGTCAAGATTTCTATTGAAAATATTTAAAGTAAGTTCTGGGTTTAACCTCTAGGTATAGTATACATCTTTAGTTTTGTAGTGGACTAGTAAGCTGAGGTTTCAGGAAAGTTTTGATTCCATTTTTTAAAATATTTGCTTAAAAATGTTTTCCACTTATTTATTTTTCACCTATTTAACAAAAACCTGTTGGGGGCCAGAAGTATTGCTTGGCAATATTGATAAAAATATGAACTGGACAGAAGATTTACATGGCTCTTAACTTTCTAGGAGCTTATAAATATCAATTCAGGGACAGAATAACCAAGGCTTTTTTTTGACTTTGAGTGAATGATTTACTCCTGTAAATGCAACACATTAGTTGTTTTAAACCTAGGATTTATATATTCCTGCAGACATGCTATAAGTTTTTAGACTTGGCTGTGGGCYTAAGAACTAAAAGCCAGAATATATTTCATTCATTTACTGTGAGAACTTGAAAAAAATAAAATAAAATTGATTATTTCTTTACCTTTAAATACAAGAAAAATGTTTAAAAAATACAATAGCATCTTATATCCTCTTTTAGCCTCTTAGTGACTTTTAGATTCTAAGGAATTTAATAATAAAAATGTAAAGAAGACATTGATTTATGCCCCTAACATATTTTAAGATTGCTGACTTTATGAAGTTAAATTTATATTAGCATATTACATTGTTCTTAAATCAATATGTTTGATTTTTTTAGGAAAAAGTTGAACATAGATCTTATGTTATTTTACTATTGCTGCTATAACAAATTACCACAACATTAACAGTTCAAAACAACACCAATTTATTATCTTAGAGTTCTGTAGGCCAGACATCCAACTGGGTCTTAAAGGGCCAAAATCAAGGTATCCACTGGCCTGATTCTTTTGTGACGTTTCAATCAAATAATCTATTTTTTTGTTTTTTGTTTTGTTTTAATTTTATTTTTTGCTTATTCAGGTCATTGGCAAAATTCAGTYCCTTGCTATTGTAGGACTGAGGTCTCTTTTTTCCTTGCTGCCTGTCAGCTTCCAGAGGCTGCCCACATTTCTTGGATTGGGGCCTTCTTCCTGTCTTGTAGTTGGCAGTGATGGGTTCAGAGCTTCTCATCCTTCTAAGATTTTTCCTTTTCTTCCATGGTTATGTCCCTCTGGTTATAGCCTTTTGAAAACCCATTTGAGTAGGTTGAGTCTCCCCTTTTCAAGGTTCATAACTTTAACTATATCTGCAAATTCCCCTTTACCAGGTTAAGGTAATATTCACAGGTTGCAAGGACTGGAGCACATTTTTCCAGACTCCAATTTCTCGAAATTAATGTCCAAACTCCTTGGAAACACACCAAGACCTTTCATATACTCCAAATACTTTTCCTGCCCTTCTTTTGTTTGGTATTTACATAGCCATTGATTCTAATTTCTCCTTATTCTCATGTGCTTTTATTTCCTGAGAGAGGCCTATATGTTTATGGGAATAGGGACAGTCATATTYGGGGTCCTTGTCCATAATGTCTTCTAATACCACTGTAAAACTTCATTCCCCCTTTKCTGACATTGTCTTAATTCACATCCTCATTCTTCCTTTAAGTCCTTTACTAACAAGATGGTGTCCTCTAGCCTTAGGTCTCTTTAGGTTTCCTCTCTCCATTGCTCATTAGAATGATTTTTCAAAAACATACAAAACTCCATATGTCATTCCCCTTCTTTAAAATTTTCAGTGTCCCCTCAGCCAATTCCTGAAATATTATCCCTTTTTCTGTGTGTCTTAGCACTAATTATGTGYTTCTACTGGAAATGGAGATTGAACCCAGGAGTGCTTTACCAATGAGCTACATCGCCAGTCCTTTTTATTTATTTATTTATATTTACTTTAAGACATGGTCTCACTAAGTTTCTTTAGGGCCTTGCTAAGTTGTTGAGGCTGGCCTTCAACTTGTAATCCTCCTGCTTCAGCCTCCCAAGTCGCTAGGTTTASAGACATGCACCACCATACTAGGCCTACTGTAGTATTTAAGATGTCACACAATTGTTTAGATACTTTTCTTCCTTTTAAATCATTAACTCATTGAAATGGGGTCATAAGAGATGGTTTTACTTGAATGAATTTATATTATTTTGTCATATATAAATTATTACATCATTTTGTCATTGTCTCTTGTCACTAATGTGTGAACTCTTTAAGGGGAAAGTCACTGGTTTATTTTTTCTTTCTCTGTGGCACAGGAGACACCTAGTGACTTTTGAATCAATGAATTGATAAAATAACCCAGMATACTGGATTATTTTTGGTCCGAATAAAAAATATATATACATATGAAACAATTTCCTGGGAATATATATGATTGCATTGTGATTGTTGTATATAATTTGGTAATGATTTTTAAAGAAATGTGGTGGCTAAAGCATGAACTTGGAGCCAAAGCATCTGAAGTGAATTCTGGCTTTTCCYCTTACAAACTATGCACTGTTAGGCAAGTTMATAATCCCGTTCCTGTTATTTGTAAAATAAGGATAGTTAGTTCTTTTTGTGTATGGTACTGGGCATTGAATCAAGGGGAACTCTACCACTGAGTTACGCCCCCACTCCCCCACCATTTTTATTCAAGGAAAGATCTTGCTAAATTGCTGTGGCTGGCCTCAAACTTGTAATCCTCCTGCCTGAGCCTCCCAAGTCATTGGAATTACAAGCATGCACCACCATATCCTGCTGGATGGTTAATTCTTTAACTTTGTTAAATGACTAATATTTACAAAGCATCTATAACTATTTACCACATAGTAAATGTCCTACAAGTATTTGTTAAATAAAAATAAAATAGTTTATATTCTCATTTTTTTGATGATAAGTAATTATTTATCGTACAATGATTTAAAAAAATAGCTCCATGAGTTCTGTTATTAGAGACATTTAATGATTCTTAATGTCTTATATTATAAAATGACCCTCTATATTCTTTACATATTTAGAGATTACTTTTGTATTATTCCTCTCATTAGGAGTTTACCTATGTTTCCTTTGTATTATTCTTTCTGTTGCTCTTGTAAGAAATTACCATGAACACAGTGACTTAAAACATTAGTTGTTTAAAACATTACAAAGTTCTTGACATAACRTATTTCATACATTTGATTCAAGCGGATTATRAGCTCCCATTTTTACCCTATATACATAATGCAGATTCACATTGGTTACACATCCACTTTCTTACCTACTGCCATACTAGTGTATGTTGTATTCTGCTGCCTTTCCTAACCTCTACTATCCCCCCTCCCCTCCTCTTCCCTCCCCTCCC